TGAATTGCTGGCGATAACGTTGGACCAAATGTTTCAATAAAAAAAATAAATTTTGGGCGGGACGAAGTTCGCCGGGTCTGCTAGTATATTATAAAAAGCAGCCAAATCGGCCTATAAATATGTTAGATATAGGACTTTTATTTTTTTTAAGCGGTAGACTCCTCGCTTGATTCGCCCATATACATAAAACCGAGGTATGATTTCAATTTAAGAAAATTTTTCAACAACCTCCCGGATTACATTAACCTAGTGTCATCATATTTACATTGTTTAAATGAAAAATGGGTAGGCAGGTCAAAAAAACACGAAACTGGATAAAATAATTACCACCACAAGGCTGACTAACATATTCAAGGAATTTTTAAAATGTTAGAAAACTAGCTGCTGAATTAGCTGTCACAGTAACTACTACTATCGTCGACCTAGAGCCGTTATCATACATACGAGAGCGATTCTTGCCATTTTAGCCTTTATTAACTTGCCAAAGTTTAAAGCTTAATTGCTTCCAATTAATATGCAGTGCATGGTATAATGTTTGGTTCCGCTTTCATGAAAATGATTTTGAGTTCCTTAACAAATCTGTCCTTCAGTTTATATAGGTACACAACTGCTATTTAAGGCACTGGGTAAAAGAGAAAACTGCTATTGTTAACCAGCAGGGTAGTAAAATTTGTGCAGAACAAACAATTAAGGTGGTTGAGGAAGTATTTTGTACCTAAAAAATGCCGCGTAAATTTATGATTTATGCATACAAGCCTTTATAAATGCGTATTTAAAAATTAATTGAAATAAATTTATTTAAACTGAAGTGGACAGTTTAAAAGTGTTCCTGCGGGAGGTTCTTTGACAAATTGACACAAAAACATTATTTTTGTTGTCTTTAATTATTTCTAAGCATCGAGTAATAGGTACAATTTTTCGCAAAAATGTCTTATGCCTATTGTTCATCCTTACGTTAACATACATACATATGTATAGTAAAAAGTCGTATTAAACTTTAATAATTAAGGTAATAGAAAATTTACGACAGTAAAAAATTAAATAAACTTTCAACGGCTGTCAACACTACGTTAGTATCGTTAGTATCACATACCTGTCCGCCTTCACCTTCAACGCTGACCAAATCTCTCCATTCCTCTATAGTTTGCGCCAAATCAATAGTGCAGAGTGGTACCTTAACTTCGCCAATTTGATCGTGTTTGGAGAAACGATCGAAATCGAAGATAGCGAAGACGAGAGTCTTGTTCATGGCATCGGCATAAGGTAAGCCCTAGACAAGAGAAATTGAAAATAATAATATTTAATACTGAAACTATAAAAATTGTTTGCAAATAGAAATGTAAAAATCACCTTAAATGTAAACGTTTCATTAAAGACGGGGCTCAACGTTTTGCGATGTACTTTCGTTTCGAATTTCTTTTTCTTGTCAGGCAGCAGATAAACTTTAACATATGGATCCGACGTTCCGCCCATATCAAGAGCTGGCAATTCTTCAGCTTGTATAACGGTGACCGCAAGGCTGTTTGAGTTGAAGTCATATTCGAGCTGTTATATCAGAACAAATAAAGAGCAAAGTGGAAAGAAAAATGAAAAAAAAAACAATACAAAAATGTTCGAAGAAAGTATGAAGTTAAGTCCAGGAATCCAGTAGGTTGCAAATTTTTGGAGCAGCGATATAAGAGTAAAATATGATTATTAGTATTAATAAGAATATTTGTGAATGTTTGTACATATTTATGTATGAAAAAATTGGAATAGATATGTACATGTATGTTTGTTTACATATGTAAATAAATAAAAATGTATGTATGACCATGCACGGCGTGTGCCGGACCAGGCCCCAAGAAACCTTGTTTTAGTAAATCTTATATATAGATAGGCAAACATGTTTTCTTTACACCCCTTTTACGGCTAAATCAAACTTCTAAGGTGTAAAGAATTATATAAGCGCAAAATGACTCAAATTTCATATTAGTATGTTTATAGAAAAGTTGTTATCGAGCTGAAGTCATTCTCGATCAAAATTACTAGGTAGCACCACTCTATGACTGCAAAATGTACAAATCGCAAGATTTAGGTAAAGATTAATACAGGGATGAAGGTAAATTTGAATATGTAGATGAAGAAGACTCAAATAAATGTAAAGAAACTTAGAGATAAATACAAAGACGAATGTAAATTTAATACTTGATATAATGACCAGGGCTGGCAAAAATATGTCTGAAAAACCTGAAAATATGCGCCATAAAAAGCTCAATAAATCACCAGAATGTGCTATTAAATATGCTAAATCAATGAGCCTTTATCTAATTTTTACAATATTTTTATTCAATAATCTCGGAATTACAGTGTAAAATAACATGCTTTTTAAATTATCAATCGAAATGACCTTCTCTGGTCATTTAAAATTATTGAATAAATCGAAAAACTCCTTTCCACTTCCGTAGATGTATGTAGTTGGACAAAATTTAAATAAACTGAATCCTGCTTGGGAGTATTTCGATAGATCTTCACTCCTAGTTGCGGAGCCCGAAAATTAAATATCTCTAATATTAGCAATTGTGGTATAGCCAAGGCTTCTGGCCAAAATACTTTCAAGTTTTTTTTTTGTAATATATAATGTCAAACCGTTTGTTTGAAACTTTGTTATACCTACCATGAAACTACCAAAATTGCCTTAATAAACTCTCCTAGCTTTATTAGTATGTAGTATGTATGTATACTTGCATTGTATCAAGGCGAATTCATACAAGCTGGTAGCAGGATTATAAAAAACATATGCATGAATGCCCCTTTTTCACGAACCTATCGTCTCTTTTTCGCCGAAAATATATGAAATGTTTCCAAATATGCAAAAATATGCACGTAAGTCGAGTATATGAGAAAACCAACAAAATTTCCAAAAAAATACGCAGATTAAGCTTTTTCAAGAATTTGCATATTTTTGCCAGCCCTGATAATGACAAAGGTGGGAGTAAATATGTAGATGAAGAAAAGAATGAAGACAAAGATCGGGATATTGGTAAAGGAAAGTAAAATAGTTTGCTTAACACATGAAAAAAAGTGGAAAAAGCAACAACAGTTTACGTGGATGGTTCCGTGCGCAGAAGTGGAAAACTTTTGACTGCCATTCACCTGGGAGTGGCCAGAAGCGATTCTTGTGCGTACGGTTCAAATCGCAGCTCACAACGTCCGGATATTTATATCCACGTATCCTCTGGGTAGCAACCAAATACCCGTTTGGGAGCGAGCTAAAGTGAGAAGGCGTAAAACTTCGCGTGCGCTGGGTTTGGGTCCCACCACGTTAAAACCCCGCCCAGTGAAAAGAAACAAACAGCCTCGGATGAGACCCCCTTTTTCTGATGACGACCATGGTAAACGTATAAAGGACTATGATTTAAGGGTATGCACCTGGAATATCCGGACCCTTAATGGGGAAGGTGCCTCTGCCCGGCTGGTTGATGTCCTCGGGAAGACAAAGGTGACATCACCGCCATCCAAGAAATGCGATGGACGGGGCAAGGTAAAGTAAGAGTGAAGCCTTGCGACGTCTACTACAGTTGCCACGTAAAGGAACGCAAATTCGGTGTTGGATTCGTGGTAGGAGGGAGACTCCGTCGCCGAGTACTGGCGTTCACCCCGGTGGACGAACGTCTAGCCACAATCCGCATCAAAGCTAGATTCTTCAACATCTCGCTCATCTACGCCCATGCCCCGACGGAAGGGAAGGATGAGACGTCCAAGGATCTCTTCTATGAGCGCTTGGAACGTACATATGAGCGCTGCCCCCGACACGATGTCAAAATCGTGCTTGGCGATTTTAATGCCAAGGTGGGCAAGGAAGGGATCTTTGGCGCCACTGTCGGAAAATTCAGCCTCCACGACGAAACGTCCGATAACGGACTGAGGCTGATCGACTTCGCCGGGGCCCAAAATATGGTAATATGTAGTACCAGGTTCCAGCATAAGAACATCCACCAAGCTACATGGCTGTCTCCAGATCGAAAAACGAGAAACCAAATCGATCATGTTGTGATAGACGGAAGGCATGCTTCAAGCGTTTTGGACGTACGTACACTCCGAGGACCAAACATCGACTCGGACCACTATCTTGTTGTAGCCAAGATACGCACCCGCCTCTGTGCAGCAAAAAATGTGCGCCCAACAATGCAAGGAAAGCTTAACGTCGAAAAGCTGCAATCACAACAGACGGCCAATTTATTCGCCACTCGACTCACACACCTGCTCTCTGAGAGCACTCTTCAACAATCCGACGTACGCGAGCAGTGGAACCACATTTCCCGATCATTAAGTACCGCCGCCGAAGAAGTAGTTGGATTTCAGCGAGCCCGAAAGAACAACTGGTACGATGAGGAATGTCAAGAAGCCGCAGAGAAAAAAGATGCCGCCTACAGGGCCACGCTGCGATCGGGCGCAACGCGAGCCATGTGGGACCGTTATAGGGAACTGAAGAAGGAAGCGAGACGTATTTGCCGCAATAAGAAGAGAGAGGCCGAAATACGTGAGTGCGAAGAGCTTGAGATGCTGGCCGGCAGGAAGAACGCCCGAAAATTCTACCAGAGGGTTAGGCGACTTACGGAAGGTTTCAAGACCGGGGCGAACTCCTGTAAGAACAACAATGGCGACCTAGTGACCGATGTCCAGAATATACTTAAATTGTGGAGGGAACACTTTTATAACCTACTGAATGGTAGCAGCGCTGAAAGTAGTGAGGAAGACGAACCCGAGTCCCCAGTCGATGATGATGGAGTAGCTGTCCCACCGCCTGACTATGACGAGTACGTATAGCGATTACGCGGCTGAAAAACAACAAAGCTGCTGGAGCTGACGGCCTGCCAGCCGAGCTATTCAAGTACGGCGGCGAGGAGCTGATTAGGTGCATGCATCAGCTCGTGTGCAGAATATGGTCAGATGAACTTATGCCCGACGACTGGAATTTAAGTGTGCTCTGCCCAATCCACAAGAAAGGCGACCCCGCCATACGCGCCAACTACCGCGGAATTAGCCTTCTAAGCATAGGTTACAAGGTCTTATCAAGCGTATTGTGCGAAAGACTGAAGCCCACCGTCAACGAGCTGATTGGACCTTATCAGTGTGGCTTTAGGCCTGGAAAATCCACCATAGATCAGGTATTCACAATACGCCAAATCTTGGAAAAGACCCGCGAGAATAGGATCGACACACACCATCTATTTGTCGATTTCAAAGCCGCTTTCGACAGCACGAAGAGAAGTTGCCTTTATGCCGCGATGTCTGAATTTGGTATCCCCGCGAAACTAATACGGCTGTGTAAAATGACGTTGAGTAATACCACCAGCTCCGTCAGAATAGGGAAGGACCTCTCCGAGCCGTTTGATACCAAACGAGGTTTCAGACAAGGGGACTCCCTTTCGTGTGATTTCTTTAATCTTATGTTGGAGAAGATAATAAGAGCCGCGGAACTGAACCGCTCAGGCACAATACTTTATAAGAGCGTACAATTGCTGGCGTATGCCGACGACATCGATATTATCGGTAAAAACAAGGGCTACGTCTGTTCTGCCTTCTCGGGATTGAATAGGGAAGCAAAGCGAATGGGTCTGGTGGTGAACGAGGACAAAACGAAGTATCTCCTGTCATCACACAAACAGTCAGAGCATACGCGTCTTGGCACCCACTTCACTGTTGACAGTTACAAGTTTGAAAAAGTAGACGACTTCGTTTATTTGGGAACCATCATTAACACCAATAATAATGTCAGCCTTGAAATCCAACGGAGAATCACTCTTGCCAACAAGTGCTACTTTGGGCTGAGTAGGCAATTGAGAAGTAAAGTCCTCTCTCGTCGTACAAAGATCACACTCTATAAGTCACTCATCATGCCTGTGATGGTCTATGGCGCGGAAGCATGGACAATGAAAGCATCTGATGAGGCGGCT